CATGGAGCTCTCCCCATGTCCTCCCAATCTTTCTAACTTCATTCTCCAGCTCTCTTCTCCATGTGTTTTTTGGCCTTCCTTTATTCCTATGCCCCTGTGGGTTCCAATGCAAAGACATTCTAGTTATGCTGTTCTGTTTATCAGTGTGTATCCTATTCAACGCCAGCGTCTTTTCCTCACCTCTAATACCGAAGTTTATATTGATTGTTTTGTAAAATTTAATGAGATATGTATGTAATATTCTTTTTTAAGGATTTTATTTTCATTTTGGTCTCAAGTCAGCAGTGAAATCACGTTACTGTACATACGTGTTAGAGATTTATGTTATCCGTCATAGCCCTGGTTCGGTTAATCGAGATTTTACTGTCAATTGATCGACATTTTGCTTAACTGCAACAAAAATTTGTCCCATTCAACCAGCATCCCCGAAGGGGGAGCTTAAGGTTATAATTGTGACTATGTTATGTGCGCCATATAAAATGGCTTGGCATTGAACACCACAAAGAGCCATGAAAAGGACTCCTGCAGTGTTCATGCGATCAAAGAAGACAACTCAAATACTGTCCCCACCGGCGACGAAGTCGTCTACAGAAGAGCCAATGGGGATATGGTCGGTCATATTTTACACTACTTTCCTTTCCGCATAAATATTGATACAGGCGGTTGTTTAAACTCTTTGTTGACCGGCTGTAAGCTCTGGCGGAAAGTCCTGGGTGTTCGTCCCTTTGGCTTTGTGACACTGCTTAAGTTCTGAGTGTACATCCGTCAGTTGTAATGGATCATTTGTGTGCAGCTGGTTGTTCTTCCTTGCCGCTAGTGCGAAAGAACAACTTCAAAGGAAGCCCCTAGTTAGTCGACTCTTACGACATGCTTTTTTTGTGTGGTAGGCAGTGGGTCTATCCTAGTTATCCCCACAATGGGGTCGGGAACACACACAGGAAGTTGTACAGATTTATTCTTTCTTTCTTTCCCCCCGCTACTGCCAGTAGTTTTCAGATGAGAGAAGAGGCCACATGCCTCCATGAATTCTCTGGTATAGCGCAGTCTTCCAAAGAGCTTGGTTTCCATTAGCATGGACAACAGGACAAACCTGGGATCTATCTACCGCACTATAGAAAGCATATTTGTAGCACATCCTCCGTATTCTATGGTGCTTGTCCATATGTTTACAGCTCTGAATCACCAAGTCTTTAACAAAGTTAAAGAAATTCCTGTACATGTGCCCTGGAATACAGAATATCCCCCCCCCTCCCCCAATGATGTATAAGGAAACTAATTCAGGTTTTGTTAAACCATATGTTGGCCCAAACGGTGCATCCTTACAGGGCCCCATTTTGGGAGAAAACAAAGAATAGACCAACTGCCCCACCCACCACCTTTAAAAACATAACGTGAAAGTCGACTAATAAAGGGTGTTTCCTTCTAAGTCGGGGTACATCTTCCTGAGAGGCGAGGAACCAACAAACTGTCTGCTCACAAATAAGCTAAATCTGTAAAACGGATGCGCATGCAAACCTCAAGTTCTGGAACAAAACCGGAAGTCCAGTAATAAACGAGCAACCAGAACTCCATGCGGGAGTTGACGAACGTGAAGAAGCAGCAGCAGAAATGTAGCTGTAAACCACAAAATGTTAAGCTGTGGCGAACACACAAAAAGAAGACAAACTTTAAGACATGTCTGAGGTGTATTATAATTATTATTTATAATCTTATTATTATTTACAGTCATCTATACAAAACTGTTACAACAATTTTAGCATATAACTCACCAAAATAACACGCTTGCACGTGCCATTTATAACAGAAAGTTGACATTCACATAAATGCTCTGTTAAACATTAACTGAATGGTAAGATAAAGGTCAAATGAATGTCTTGTTAAACATCAATATAATGGGAAGTTGAACGTCAAATGAATGTTCTGTTCAACATCAAATGAATGTTCTGTTCAACATCGAACGAATGGAAAGTCTGAAAAGATGATTATCAACATATGTGATAAGAATGAGTTCTCCTTGAACGTTGTTTAATAGACTATGCATGTTTCAAATACCTGCATTCACTTCATTCCTCGTTTACACATTTAAAACAAACAGATTTAAATAATGCGAGCACAAACCAGGGCATTTTTCCTGCCAGTATACAATACAAGAATTTTTTGTCTTCTTCAGCGCTATGCTAATGCAATAGACGCTTCAGGGCGAGCACCGGCACTTTTTTTTTTAAACGTTGCGGTGATTACTAGCAATTTTTCAAGAAAAACAATACCCTGACACAAAGTATTTCCAGGCATATCCTGCTGTATCTCATCAGGTACTAAACCACAAGTCATCATCATCCTGTAACACGTGTTGTTGGGTCACCAGTTTCCGTTGACTGTCTAATGAGCTCTCTCCACCTTTGGCGGTCAGTTGCGATGGACATCATGGTTGCATGTCTGAGGCCTGTCCAGTCAGTCAGATTCAGTAACCAGGTCTTTCTTGGTCTGCCTCTTCTCCTCTTTCCCTCTACTGAGCCCTGCAGTATTGTTTTCGAAAGCCCGTCTAAACCACAAGTATATCAATATATAATGAAGCCCAAAAATTAATCCTTTCCTAATACACAAATCACATCGTCTCTAGTTACAATGCAAATCTCACCATCACAAATGCATCATCAGTCACCTGATGTAACCTTGTGGTCTTGTTGATGAGACACCGCAAACTTCACCATGCAATAAATTGTGCAATGCACTGTTTGTCCGCATTATTTAAAATCAGAACAGCGAAACATTTTAACATTTTAATCACTCCAACCTGCTACTTGAAAAGCTGTGGTTATACTTAACCCTCTCTATCCCAAGAAACACGCCAGGTATGCTCCTCTACTGTCTGTGTGTATCAAACAAGACATGGTTTATCATTATATCTTTTATATTTAGTCTGAGCCCACTAAAGACACCTGGCCAGATATTATCAATCAGTGCATAATTTGCTAGCAATATGAAATGCAGTGATTTTGTTTACTATAGCTACTGTTCCTTTTGAGCAACTTTTGAAGTCTTCCTGGAACTTTAAGAGTTGATTTAAAAAAACAAACAAAAAGTTTGCCAGTTGATTTTTAGCTGTGTCGATGTTTCTTCTTCATTTCTGTCTGACAAGTTCTTATGCTTTTATTCATTATCCTGTCTTGTTGTAACCTCAAAATGTGGAACATCACTGTTTTCTGCGATGCACAGAATCCATCATCATCTGTTAAAATAAGACCAAGTTTCTTTCGGCAACCACTTTCTTTTCAGCACACAAACAGAGTTTATGTTTTCATGAAACAGGATGATGATAATACACAGATGAATTCACTTATTACGCAGACGGCTTCAAATGAGGACCTTAAAAGTGTGACATAAATTACAGTAGCCATATCACTGTCTTGTCACATATCAATACTGCTGTTAAGGATGTCAAGAGTGTTAAGCCCATGACATTACAGTGCAGATAAACACTGCGATGCCATGATGGTAAAAAAGACGGCCTCCTAACTTTTGACATGCACTCCACTGTTGCATCAAGTCTTTTCTGAACATTTCTTTCCTCCCTAAGATCAAACCTCCGGCTTTTACGTTAGTATACCAGATTCGATCTCTCCAGATATACCTGTGATACATACGATAAATACCAGATTACAGGATGATGATACACTTTGTCCTCACCTGCACAGGACTGCAGATTACACTGGGCAGGTGTAGCCGTTATCATCAAGTGCCCTGCCCGCTGGCGTAGGCCTTCATGTCTCTCCACAGATCTCCGTCTTTTGTGTTCTTGATCAATTCCACTGATGATATTCCTCTAGGACACTGCCTTAAGCCATCTACTATCATTTTTCTTGGTCTGTCCCTGCCTCTTCTGTCAGTGATCTTTCCAGTCATTGCTGTATTTTCTAATGCTCCTTTTTTCACCACATAACCAAAGAACGTCTAGCGGTCATGGGTGCCCTAATTTTAATTTTCTCAGAGGCCGAACAGGGTGTCTGGGATCTACCAGCCTGTCTGCCATCCTGGTTTAGATTTACAGTGGTTAACAATTAGGTAATATCGCAGATACAAGGCTCAGTAGAGGGGAAGAAGCCAACCAAGAAAAATCTGGATGCGGAACTGACTGGACAGATTTCAGGCATGCAACCATGAAGTCTATCGCATCTGATCATCAAAGGTGGAGAGATCTGATCAAACAGTCAACAGCAACTTGTGACCCAACAACACGCAGTCTTACGGGAGGATGATAATTAATATCCCAGAGGGAATAAGCTGATCAATCGATAGGATACAAAAAGGCAGGTCTCTTTTCTGGCGGTACACAACACCGGCAGCCCCTTTCCCCCCAGTGCTACCGCAACACTTTGTGATGGGTACCGGCACCTTATTCCAAGACCCTTTGTGGCAAGTCCTGGCATCTTTTGTGCAAGAACAAAAAATGTATGCACAACTGAATTCACTTGATAGAGTCCACTGTTGCCTCAAGACTGTTTTCAACCGTCTTTTCCTCAAATTCTTCGTTTAAGTTATATTTAGGTGCCAGCGGCTTCTCTGTTGCTTTGCTATCCTCCCCATCTCCCTCAGCGACAAGTTTCTCACCTTCTGTTCCTCTCCCAGAACTTGCCTTCATTTTCTTACCACTTACTTGCTTTTTAATTGTTTTCTTTTTCCGCTTCAAACCTTTACTATCACTGGTTGGTTTATTACTGGTATTCTCTTCTATTTTATCCTTGTTTGCAGGTCCATTTTTGTCAGTCACATCTGGATGTGTTTGTGTGGAATAAACATCTGTATGTTTGTTAGAATCTCGAGTACTACTTGGATTATCTAATCCAATATCAGTTTTGTCCACAGTTATACCACTTTTCTTACTTACCTGTGTTGTTTTTATGATCCTCTTATGCTTCAGTTTTTCTGATACAGTGACTTCTTCATTTCTTTCACTACCATCTTGGAATTTACTTTCTGTTCTTTCACTATGCTTTTTTAAACTACCCTCTTTCATTTTTTTGATCCCCAGTCGGCTTTTCACCACCCTGAATGTTATTCTGATCACTTTTCACACGTCCCTCACTTTGCTTTCCCTCAAAACCACTTTTGTCTTTGAACTTCTTGTTTTCTTCATTTACGCTGTCCTTATTTTTGCCCTTTTGTTTCTGATTCCCCCCACCAGTAATGCTTACGATTCTCTTAGTCTGAATTTTATCAAGATCATCGTCCACTTTATCACCACTTGTACTTCTTTGTCTCTTACGATGTATGTCTTTATTTACACCAGCTGTTTTCTCTGAACTTTCTTCTCTGTTATCCACATGCGAGATCTTTTGCTTACTGCTCAATTTATTCCTATCTTTGATGTCACTAACTGCACTGTCTCTGTCTTTAGTATCTATACTTCTATCTTTCTCATTATTTTTAAAAGCATTTGAAATTCTTCTCTGTGCAATATCGGAACTGTCAAGTTTATTACCTTTTGTCGCAAGCAAACTATCCCCTTTTCTGTCTTTATACCTACCATCAATTTTATGTATTCTCTCCTGGATGCCATGGCTCTGGCTTATTTTACTTTCTCCTCGGCCATCTCTCCCCACCTTGTGTTTACAACCTTCTTCACTATCATAGCTTTCACTTCTCCTATCACCGTAAGTGGTTTCTCTCCCAACTTTATAACCTTCTATTCTAGATTTCTTCCCGTCATGATGAAGTTCACTTCTGCCATCCCTCTGTGTGATTTCTTTTCTGGCTTTGTAGTTATCAATCATTGTAATTTTCCGTCCTCTGTCGCTGCTTTCACTTCTTTTGTCTCTTCCTGCAACATCATTGTCCAATTTATATTTCTGACCATCTTTACTGTTTCTTCCGGCGCCATCTTTACTTCTTGCACTGTCGTAACTTTCACTTCTGTCACCGTGTGCCCGACCTTTCTGCTTGTACCGAATACTATCCTGATTTTCCCTTCCTCTGTTGTCTTCTCTTTCATGAATGTTCACATTACCAACATTTCTGTCTCTACTTTCCCCTTTCCTATCTTCTTTTGCACCATCGGCATCTCTCTTATCTTTATCCCTATAACCATCTCTCTTATCATACATGAAGTTACCCCTTTCTTCATTATACTGATACTTTCGGCCAGATATTGGTTCCTTGTCAAACTCAGAACTAATGCCTCTCTTCTGCTTGTTTACAGCGTCCTGTTTATGCTGACTGCTTGCTCTGCTGTCACTGACAACATACATTTTATCTCTTAAGGCATCAACCCTACTGTCAGTTGCTCTGTCTCCTTGTCTTTTGACATTTGACGCATCATCATGACTACTGCTTCTTCTGTCTTTATGTTTTGTGACTAGCGGGTCATTACTTTTTGACTTGTCTACACCACCTTTGCTGCTAGATGGTTTATATTTATTTTCTCCATCACCATAACGTGCTAAATTGTCTTTCTGTGTCCTGGCTTCTTTTATCTTTTCTCCTTTAATAGTATGTTTATCACTGTCTGAACTGCTAAGTTGTTCATCAACTGTTTTGCTGTCAACTTTACTTCTAGCCTTATCTCCCTTAACTGAACCACTTTCTCTGACTTTACTATCAGATGTTTTTTCTTTGACTTTCTTAGTGACTTCTTTGTCACCTTTTTCTCCACTTTTATGTTTAGTATGATCTTTTTTCTTCTCTAACCTTGCTACATCTCTTTTCTTTACTAGATCATCATTTTCGACCTTTTCCTCTTCAAGTTTTTCTTTCTCAGTGTTAGCCTCTGAGATGTTGGCTGCTTCTGTAATCTCATTACCAATTTCTTCAGAATTCTTGTCACCGCTGTTATTATCTTCATCTTTTTGTCTTCGCTTCGATTTCTTTAATTTTTTATGCTTTTTCTTTTTCTTCTTCTTCTTTTTCTTCTTCTCACTTGTCTCTGCATCTGATGTCGTTTTTTCCCCAGATTCCCCTTGTAATGATCTATCTTTTGATCTCGGACGGCGCTTACTTTGGCGCGCTGCACGGTCTTGAGATGCAGAATGGGACCGGTTCCTCATTTCAACACTATCCCCTCTACTCCTACTCCTCGACAGATTACGAGACCAACTCCGAGATCTCCCACTCCTACTGCGGGACCGTGAATATTCTCTGGGACTCCGAGCACCGAAATTATAACCTCGAGGATCACCCCCAAAACCACCACGGCCTCTTCCTCTGCCTCGTCCACGAAAACCTCTACCCATTCCCCGTGGACCAAAATTAGGTGGCCCATAATAAGCCTCATACTCCATCCAGGCTTGGGGGTCTCCGTAATACATGGCAGCATAGGGATCAATCGGCCATCCTCCTTCAGGCCCGTAGAACATTGGAAGAGCTTCAGGGCCATACCATGGGTAGCCATAATGAGCTGCATAAGCAGCCCAAGCCTCATCATAGTAAGGATGCTGCCCTCTGCTGAAGGACCCTCTGCCCCGCTGACTAAAATGCCTCAGATTTTCCCTGGACCCAGAACGGTCATCATCTGTGTAACTGCTTCCACTCCGACTGCGGCTGTAACTGCTGCTGTGACTTCTGCTAGAGCTTCTTGATCTGCAAGTTTTCAAACAAATAAATATTTCAAGTAGGTCTAAAAACAAAATTGAAAAACAAAATGGGCACTTATTCAAAAGCCTACAGCGCAAATATGCAGCTGGATGTCACATATTATAAGCATTATTCTTACCCATACGGGCCTGCAGCTTACACTACTTGCTAGACTAGACCTCTAAGGGCCGAATTTGGCCCCTGCTCTAAAGAATTTGTCTTGACCGGTGATCCCAATAACCACCTTATTTATGGTAACGAAATTTTGTTTTTCCAACAGGCAAAGTAGCAGAAGATGAAGCTGAATTAAAGTATCTAAGTGCAGTACCTTAGCTCTCAGATCAACCCAACTTTAAGTGGGTGCCAGGTAAGTCATGGGAAGTAAAGGTGGCCAATTTGATACTGACCACATCACCCGCCAAGTCCCGATTGATGAATAAAATAGAATTATAGCACTAAAAGCACGGAAAAGTTCTTTACTTTTACTATCTACGTGCAGTACCACTTTCAGAGAGTTCAACATAATCTGTACATTTTTAGAGTTGATGGCATACTATTCAATGTAAAACTGCCCTGTAAAATCATAAAACAGCCAAACAATGGTTCTGGTTGAGCTTCTAACGTCCCGCAAAGCAGTGTTTCTTTAAACCATGGAACGTGAAAAATTCCAAGTGGGCTGTCAAAAATTTCTTATTAAGTTAAAGTAGAGAGGGTCAACTTGATTTGCACTGGGTTTTATCCCATATGGCTCAGTCTTTCTCCGCAGAATGGCTAGCAGCCGGCCGAGAGCTCTAGCGACTTTCCCGGGGGTCTCCGTAAAAATTGCACTCGCAAACTGAAGGGTGCAGCTGTAAAACAAACCCACAACTTTTCAGAGTGTGAGAGGCAAACGGCGTGACCACTTCGCCAGGCTTCAACCCATGGGGTGCCAAATATTTCTGCCTAATCATGTAACAGGGTAACGTTAGGTATTTTTTTCTTCTTCCAGTATTGCAGTCAGTGGGATTAACACCTCAGGGATGAGAATAAAACATGTATAAATCCCGGCAACCTCATTCAACCGCATAAAACAGCTATATTAGGGCACCTGTCAGTTATGTAATATTTAGTCTAGTCTGGGATGGGAATAAGGGCTATAACCCCCTGTGGCGGCTATATGATTCCCAGAAACAAAACAGCAAAGTCAGGCCTACAAACAGAGTGACTACATTTCCCATTAACGCCTTGTTGTGATGCCGGGAGTCTTCTATGTTTCAGGAGTATCAGGTATTCTTTACTGTCAACGCTTTAAAACCTCTCTCTTTCCTCGTCTGGTCACTGCTGGCTTGCATGATTATTTCCATGTTTTGCAACCTGCGCAACGCTTCGGGAGTACGGAAACTGTTAAGTTTTTCTATGGTTAAGTGCCTTGTCAGTGTGTTCTCTGTACTGGGTAAGAAGCCATCCCCAACGAATGTAGAAATTTTAAAAAAAAAAACATCAAAGTTTCTATACTTATGAATCGTCACGCCTGCGGTGCTCCCCCCTGCAGCAGTACTTACTTGTACACAGGCGCCTCAAACAGACACACGACAACACAACCTCCCACAAACATTATAGACACCGAACCGAACACTGCAGCAAACACCCCTACAACATAGAAGTTTCCCTGCGTCACAACAAGCAAAAACGGGAAGGGAAGTCACTCTGTTTGTGGGCCTGACTGTTACTTGTAATGATTCCCACACTACAAAGCACTAGCCACGTGAATCAGATTTTCTGAACTCCAAGCAGCAGTAGCTGCGGTATCACATTAAAATTGCAGTTTCATGACATCAGATTTAGCAAATAAACTACAGTCTACATGTGTTTCCCTGTGTGTGGTTAGCTAGCCGTCAAGTGTGCCACAAAACAACTTCCCCCAATTTGGTGGTCCGCGGGTGTAAACAAAAAAGATCTACAAAAATAAGTCTAGCATCATATGTCCCTTACGCCACAGGCATGAAAAGGGCCCTTGACCTTTAAATATAATGTAACCACGTCCGCAGAAAAAGAGCATAAACAGAACTGCTAACACCAGAGATAATCAGATGGGGGGGGGGGGGGGGGGGGGGGGGGAAGAGGGTCAACCTGGAGAAGTGGTAAAGCTGTTTTGCCCCACGCCCTGCAGGCTGTGGGTTATGCTGTTCGGTTCACAGGGGCAATATTTATGGAGATCCCTGGGGATCGTTGCTGGAGCTATGGTGTTTGTATGCTGTGTACGATTCTCTTGGTAGGCAACTAGCCGTTCTGTGGGGCAGAGACCGAGCCATAGGGGATAAAACAAAGCGCAATCAAGTTGAACCTCTTGACTTGAACTTTTATAATAATTCATAATTTAATTTTAAAAATCTGACAACAACAACAAAAAAAAAAGACAATAACACTATGCCCTATAAATAATTAATAACACCAAAAACAGCAAGATAATGAAGATAAATGAACAGAAGCAAATCCTTGCAGAACGCGCTTTTTTATCAAGTCTTCTTCTTTGCGTTCACCAGCTGTAAACGCTGGTGGAAAGTCTTCGCTATTTGTCTACTTTTGCTCTTCAGATCTTGTTTGACAGATCTAACTTATTTGTATGCAAACCGTTGGTTCTTCTCCGGAGGATAAAATCTAACTTAAAAGGAAATGCCATTAATTAGCTTACATTTACATGCTTTTTAAAGAGCAGTGGGTCTATTCTTTTTTGGCCTTTACAATGGACCTCCGAGCACCGCTGGGTGATAAATTGATACATAACAAGGCAATTGTGGCTTCGGCCCTTTGGGAACAAGTAATGAAGTCAAAAGAGAAAGTAGATATTATGGGCTGCTGGAGAGAATGATGCACCTGGGTGTAACCATAGGGTTCGGCCGGCACACTACGCTCAGAGGAAAGGCAAGACGGACATACAACCAGACTACGACTGGCACCATTAGAACTCTGGGCTGGGGACAGGGCACATATGGGAATGCCACGAGCGCTGTGATGTCAATTCTTAACTCAACAGGCCCTAGAACCCACATTAAGCAAAGCACCCGTTTCCAGCACTGTAAAGGACCAATTGGCAATCAACAGTTGATGGCGTCAACAATGAGCTGGTCGTGTTTACTTCCAAGAACATTTGTTGACACCTATTTTAGGCTGGATTGACTTGGAAAAATTCCCCTCTGACAATGAATTCAAACTCAACATCTTCAAACCAGGAGGCCCCCCGAGTGAACAGAGATATACCCACCGCCCCCTATAAACATGTCAAAAATAAAAGTCTACTAATTAGGCATTAGCTTTCCTTCAAAGTTGAAGTCTTGGTAATCTTAGTTTCAGCTTCATAGCAAACGAGTCACCCCATAGTTGCTCCCCTCCTGTGCCAACGAAAAACACAGAATGTTTGTCGCAGTCCCTTGTGGAAAGATTGACAGACTGCTGTCTCAGCATATGCACTAGCAAACACGCGCATTTAAAACATACGGTAGCCATCAGAAGTGCTAACACAAACAGTTGACATTAGAAATGCAGTTCATTCTCGACGGTAGCAGAAGTTGCCAAAAGATCAGCAGTTGCGCACGCGATCAATATTAATCACAAAAGGGCACCACCAATATTGCGGCGACAGGCCACGCGCCATTTTCTGAATATACAGTTCACAACACCACGTTGGTTACAGTCGAAAAACATTCCAAATGAAATATGCAGCTCACAGGGTTGCGCCATGCACTCAACTCAGTAGCTGGCGCGACGAAACTGTATCCTTTCGGTCTACAAATGGATCAAAAATGCAACGGCCACCGTACGGCAGAAGCAAAAAATTTGCCTCGATGAGAAACAGTAACTGCGCCTGGCGCCCATTTTGACCGGAAGTTGAAGTGCATCTGCCTGTGAGGTGAGGAACCAATATTCTGCATACTAATCAGCCAGATCTGTAAAACAGATGTGCCTGCAGAACTGAAGTTCTGGAACTAGGCTTAAGTCCAGAAGTTGATGAACAACAAGAAATTTCCTCCTGAGTTTACAGAATGTGAATGCCAAAGAAGAAGCCGAGGCCAAAGAAGAAGAAGCCGAGAAGAAAGTATTAAGCTACTGTGCTACTGCAGCTGTGGACATGTTACTAATGATATTATGAATGAACTATAAGAAGATCGCTTTCAATCCCAGAAGATTTCCCAGCCGACGGCCCATGCTGACCTTACCCACAATATACAAGCCAAGAATATGACTATCAAAGAGGCAAATACTCTGTGCTACATGTTAAAATATCCAGCCAGATTTTTTAATATGCCCAGACCAAATGTAAAATACATAACAACAGGCAATGTGTTGTCTAATACATACGGATAATAGCTGATCATTCATGGTTTGTAGCTTAGGAAAGAAAGTGTTAACAGAGCAATCAAAATAAAATTCTATTTAAAAATTAACAATGAAAAAACACAAATATTCAAGCAACAAATGAAGTTTTAGTCTGTAGAGCAGATATTTGAAAGACAAAACAGTGTCAACCACCACATTGATACTTGGAAACTAAATTACCAGTTGTCTGAGACTGTTTATTTTATGCTATATGAAACTTTTATTTATGCGGATGTTAACAGCGCTCGGGATTTTTTCTTTTGTCTTCTTTTTAATTACATTTTTTAGAGCTGGGGTGGGAAGGAGGGTCTTGTTTTGCCATCATTTTTATGGGGGGGGGGGGGGGGGGGAGAGAATGGGGAAAAAAAAGGCTGAAAACCACTGTCATACAGGGTGTGAATGAATGGTGAATAAAGAATCAACATAACAA